GATGGCTGCTTCAAAATAATCTATGAGTGTCTCAAATAAAAGTGGCCCCACCACACAAGCTATGAGTCCATTTTCCGATGCAGGTTTTAATAAAAGATTGCTTTAACATGATAATAGTCATACTCTTATTGGAACTCTTATCTTAAAGTATGTTTCCTGTAAAAGAAAGTGAGTTTATTGAATTTAGAGAGTACATGCACGTCATGGCGCATGGTCAGGATGGTACCACCTCTGCCTTAATTTGAGCCAGGAAAAACCCTGTTCCATCTTACCTGTGAAGGATCTTTGGGGTATCTTTTGGACTAGAGGTGGGGGGAGGTGGGAGGCCATTCCTTGTATTGGGTGGGATCTTCATTCTCTGACACAAGACCCTCTCTTCCTGTGGATAATGAAACCAATTATTTTCCTGTATTTGAATAACATGTGTGACCACTACAGTACACTAACCACAGCTCTGTCATGAGAGACTGGTGACTGCATTTCTCTGGGGCTACCCAGCCCCATGCAGCTACCCTCCGAGTCCGATGTGAGCAGCTCCTGCAGTGACTCTGTTGAGGTGTCTTTTCGTGTCTTCACGAGGCATGGGGAAACTGCTGAAAGAAATACAGTAATTGCAAATCAGTGAAAAGTGAGGCTTTCAAGTGAAATGTCACTTGCATCTGAGTGTTTGTGCAACCATACCTGCAGCAGGGGGGCTTTGAATAAGTTCAGACAGTGTATAGCCTCCTGAGCTGTCGGAGCGTCGCCTTGGTTTCTTTTTAGCCTTCATCTTGGCTTTCTTGAACAGTACTTCCCTGCGGAAGGAGGGTTTTGATTAATTAACAGCACACATTTAAATTACATTTATTTTTAAGCGGATACACTGTTTTTCTTCTTCAGTTTTTCAAAAATAAATCACTAAGTGTTTTTTTGATCGATACTGAAATCATGATTAATAAATTTGATTATTCACTGATTCCAAGAGAGTAATCTCTCGACCAAAACTCAACTTTATGCTCAAATATACTATCCATCCATCCATTCTCTAATACTATACAAAAATGTTGATTGTTTTTGTGATATAGATCGTCATATCGCCCAGCTCTAGACAGAGAGTAGAGCAGAGCTGTGCATTTGCATATTTGGTGACTATTGGTCACTGTTTTCAGACAATAGAACTTGACAAAACAAGCCGAGAAACATTACAATGCTTGCCTGCCCTCAATGACTGAGATGAAAAAAAAGCATTTATGGGTGTCATACCCCCCCCCCCCCTCGAAAACACAACAGAATGAGTTTTTCAGCGGGTGAATTTTAGTGCAGACATCATTTTTACATAGACCTATTATTTATGTTCCAATGTTCAGCCCAATCAAGTGTCCCTTTTAGGGTGGCAAAAGAAACCAGTGATTAAGGTTAAAAACAGCTTGGCTAATATTGACAAGTTACACATCTTGGTTTTATTTAGGAGAGTAAAACAACTTGGACTATATTATGTTCATATTTACTGTTTATGTAAGAAAAAAAATTCCCAAGTCAAGGCCCATTCTGCCTTAATTTTAAGCAATTAAAGCAGAGTCTTATTTTTGCTTACTTGTTCACAGATCTGATTGTTTTGTTACAATATCAATACAATTTATCTCTTTTTCCAAAAACATGGAAATACCAAGTATAACTTGGGGAATTATGCTGTGTGGCCGCCGAAATTACACTTCTCTCACATGGTTGACACGTTTTGTTGTTCAACTTTCACAAGAAAATAACACCCGGCAACCAAGAAAACAACTGCAATAGGCTGGTGTTGTTCTCGTGTTGACGTCATCGGGCTCAAGCATTTTTAACCTTAAAGTAGGCATTCCAAAATCTGCTACAGACCAGCCTTATATCACCAATGAGACTTGTTTTGGGGGGAGGGATTTTTTTTTTTTACTGCATAAATAATTTTTAAGTTCAGAACTACAAAATACTTGGCAATGTTCGGGCTGTTATAGGGGCCTTTAAGGCTGTTTACCTGCTGGATTGGTCCAATTCAGATTCTAATTTGCGGCTGAAGGCGAAGTCAATATGTTCACCTTCATACATACTGAGATTTGGGGCGTCAGGATATGGAGTCACAACTCTCCTGTGCATGGCTGGGATCTGAAATTAAAACGTAACAATGAAAAATTCCAGCTGTACCACACTGTACAGTCAGCCGATGGCTGGGATCTGAAATTAAAACGTAACAATGAAAAATTCCAGCTGTACCACACTGTACAGTCAGCCGAAAACCTTTTGACTGCAATCAGACTGCAGGCATAATCTGATTCCAATTACACTGTTTTTCTTCTTCAGTTTTTCAAAAGTAAATCACTAAGCGTTTTTTTTTTTTAATCGATACTGAAATCATGATTGCGGTAATAAATTTGATTATTCACTGATTCCAAGAGAGTAATCTCTCGACCAAAACTCAACTTTATACTCAAATATACGATCCATCCATCCATTCTCTAATACTATAAAAAAATGTTGATCGTTTTTGTGATGTAGATCGTCATATCGCCCAGCTGTAGACAGAGAGTAGAGCAGAGCTGTGCATTTGCATATTTGGTGACTATTGGTCACTGTTTTCAGACAATAGAACTTGACAAAACAAGCCGAGAAACATTACAATGCTTGCCTGCCCTCAATGACTGAGATGAAAAAAAAGCATTTATGGGTGTCATACCCCCCCCCCCCATTAAATCACGAATGAGTTTTTCAGCGGGTGAATTTTAGTGCAGACATCATTTTTACATAGACCTATTATTTATGTTCCAATGTTCAGCCCAATCAAGTGTCCCTTTTAGGGTGGCAAAAGAAACCAGTGATTAAGGTTAAAAACAGCTTGGCTAATATTGACAAGTTACACATCTTGGTTTTATTTAGGAGAGTAAAACAACTTGGGCTATATTATGTTCATATTTACTGTCTATGTAAGAGAAAAAATTCCCAAGTCAAGGCCCATTCTGCCTTAAATTTAAGCAATTAAAGCAGAGTCTTATTTTTGCTGACTTGTTCACAGATCTGATTGTTTTGTTACAATATCAATAAAAAATACCAATGTGTTTTCAAAAAAAAAAAATGTTTATCTTTTTCCAAAAACATGGAAATACCAAGTATAACTTATTGACGTTATTTCCAGCTCAGCGGAGTGCTAGGATATGACGCAAGAGTCTCCTTCTTCAAAGTTATGTACATCATAATGTGGGTGCCACCAAGTGTTCGGAGAGACAATACGGAAAATCACCCGGCAACCAAGAAAACAACTGCAATAGGCTGGTGTTGTTCTCGTGTTGACGTCATGGGGCTCAAGCATTTTTGACCTTAAAGTAGGCATTCCAAAATCTGCTACAGACCACCAGAAAATAAGCCTTATATCACCAACGAGACTTGTTGGGGGGAGGATTTTTTTTTTTACTGCATAAATAATTTTTAAGTTCAGAACTACAAAATACTTGGCAATGTTCGGGCTGTTATAGGGGCCTTTAAGGCTGTTTACCTGCTGGATTGGTCCAATTCAGATTCTAATTTGCGGCTGAAGGCGAAGTCAGTATGTTCATCTTCATACATACTGAGATCTGGGGCGTCAGGATATGGAGTCACAACTCTCCCGTGCATGGCTGGGATCTGAAATTAAAACGTAACAATGAAAAATTCCAGCTGTACCGCACTGTACAGTCAGCCGAAAACCTTTTGACTGCAATCAGACTGCAGGCATAATCTGATTCCAATTCTCAAATCCGATTTTCAGGGATGACTGTGTGCATTAATTTTAGCAAGTGTCCAAATGGTAGCTGGCCCTGTTCAGTTCAGACCGAGCCCCATTATTGACCCATCTGACGGGTTGCTGGAGCAACAACGTCAGAACGGAGGCGTCGGCCTGCATGTGTAGTGTCTGATATCACCGCTCAGTACTTCAACATCTGGCGAACAACCCACAACTTTCATCGACAACTATGGGTCGTTGCTGAGGTGAATTTTGGTCCCAGTATGTCCCTGCTTGGCGATCTCTGGTCCGGCGCATTGGGTCTTGCGTCGCATAGAGTGACGTCCCCCGACATTCAAATCCAAAGTGTTGCCAGGTTCCGTGGATGTCAGAGAAAACAAATGCATGTTCTGTATTGATAGCAGACGCTTTGGCATTGGTAAGAAAGTAAGATTCATATGTTGGGAAATTACTTATTTTCAACACACATGCACTGCTCTTGAAGGAACGCTTTCGCCAACAGGTGGGCTGCTACTGTGCGTCATATAGCAATTGATTAGCGTGTGCTTTTATAACAAGTTCAATGCCTGCCAATCAATGATGTGGTCAACAGTGCCTCACATTAGCATTTGCATGTACTGTAGATTCCAATCAGCCCAACTGAAAGAAAAGTCTTTGGTTGCCACAAATAGTTTTAAAATTGTTGCGGTCTGGACCTGTACCGTACATGCATTTAGGTTTGGTCCATCTCAACAATCAGTCTTGTATTTCTACATTGACATTATTTCCAGCTCAGCGGATATGACGCAAGAGTCTCCTTCTTCTTCAAAGTTATGTACATCATGATGTGGGTGCCACCAAGTGTTCGGAGAGACAATACGGTTGAATTAAGCGGTGAAAAATTTGTGTTGCCAAAAACTGCAGAAATTGTGGGTATTCATAACTTGAAGCACTGCCGTATTCAATTCTTTGCACTTGACTATTTTTCTTCAAGAACTTGTCCAGCCACATGTTTTGAGTAGGACTTTTTACGGCCACTGGTTTGTTTATTTGTTTCATTGTATTCTTCTATTTAACTTCATTTTGTTCTGTTCTTAATAATTTTATGGACAAATGGATAAAATACATTTGCTATAATTTCATGCAGGGAAAAATGCTATGTTTGAATGTCAAGGTCTTTCTTAAAAATTATCTGTCATTGTTTTTGTGTGTGTGTGTGTGTGTGTGTGTGTGTGTGTGTGTGTGTGATATTTTATGTATCAAAAGTAATAGTGGTATCGGTATCTGTGACAATTCATGTTTACTGTTTTGTTAAGCGCTTTGTTACAGCTGCAGCTGTTGTGAAAGTGCTATATAAATCAGAATGTATTGTATTGTAAATTCAAAAGTTGAGTATTTATACTGGTATTGGTCTGGTAAAAAATAGTATTATCGAATCTCCCAAAAGTTTCTTGTAACAAATCATCTAAATTTTACAAAAACAGTAACCAGCAATAGGAAAGTTTGTAGCGCAGATATTAGGGTGACTGACCATCCTCTTGTAGGCTGCAGAAAGCTCCAGAAGGACTTCATCACTAAGACAATCCAATGCTCTAATGGAATCACAGAAATAAGGAGCAGACAGACACATAACTCATCCATTTTCTGAACCGCATATCCAAAGCACCAAAAATAATTTCTAATTTATTCAATACCAGCTATATCTGCTATTATGTGTATATCATCTCCATAAGCATGTCGAAAGAACGGCATGCTTACTGAGCCATTAACAGTACTTTAAACTGATCAATGATTTGAAAAATTAGACTCGTGTTGACTGACCAATAGGTGTGTGAAAAAATGTGAAATGTACTAAATTTGCACAGAAGTTTCAGCTCGACGCTTGCACTACTTAACATGAATTGATATCTTAAATTGACATTTCAAGCCCCTGCATAATTCTCAATCTTGGTTCTCACTTTGACTCGAGTAGCACAGCCATATTCAGCACAATGAACTGGAGGCAGGAGAGTTTCAGTTGCTCTGCGTTGTACATGGTGGCAAACTCCAGCAGCTCAGCTGCATTTTTTAGAGTTACTGCAAAGAGCAAATTAGCTGAATTAGCCACTTTCAGAAGGTTGCAGAAAAGGTAGGCAATCAGGGGCAAGAATATCTGTTTTTATTCATTTTCAACTAAAGTATGATGCATTTCTCAAGGAAAAATGAAGGGGAATTCAAGGCAACAATTTTCATTGTACAAATATGCTCAACTCAAGTTAATCATGTTGTGTAGAATACGGCAGGGTAATTAGGCTACAGTTTACTTTAGCAAGAGGAATTATAAAAAAATACAAACGTGACATACAATTCTCTGTGATGACGACCTCGCACATTTCCTTCAATCGTGTGATCAGCAGTTGATCAGCTACAACAAGCACGTTGCAGACAAACGCCACATTCATAGACTCTGCAGTGAAAAATAGAACAAGAGCATATTTAAGTTTCAAATGTATTCACAGCCCATGTAAATAAAAACAACCAGGTTTACAAAATCTGTCTTTCAAGCATGTAAAGTTACCTTTAATGGTGGGGCAATCATCTGTGTAAATATACTCAAGAATGCCAAACAAAATGTCTGAGCTTGTGGGCATCCGAAGCGCAGTACAAGCTGTAGCCTGAGGGAACAAAGCATCAGGCCTTGAGCTAGTGTAACTGATATGCCAAGATACTGGAAAGTGAATAGTTGAGTTTAGCACCACTGACAAGCTGGTTAGAAAAAAATTAATTAGCACAACAAACCTCAATCCACGGATTGCTCAGCACCACTGACAAGCTGGTTCGAAAAAAAAAAATTAGCACAACAAACCTCAATCCACGGATTGCTCAGCATACTGTGGAAGTATTCTGCAAAAATTGACAAACATAAAACATATTTAAAGGAGAAATTAAAACTGACTTTCTAAATGCTACCCCTCGAGCGGGAAATTGAACAGACAAGTCAATCTTAACTCTCTATTTCGATACAGCTTCTGCGAGCTGGCTATTTCCTAATTTAGATCATCACCGCTCCCTTACAAAGTTTCTCAGCCAAAACTATCATGTCAACGCCAAAAGGTAAGCAGAGTTGCAGTATTTTGGTACCTTCGGGAGGCTCTACCGGTAATCTGATACATTATTTTACAAAGAAATTCAAGCAGAGGATCTGCAAAAACTCTAATGTTCAATGGATCCAAGAATCGTGAACCTGCTACCAAATAAGAGATCCATCTGCAAATGTAATTTCACCTGGTCAGATGTTTTTGATTGAAAAAAAAAACCCTTTTGATTATTCAACTTCGTACCTTGTCTCGCACAGAGGACACTTTTATGGCATGGAAACTCTTTGCCATCTTCTGATTTCAGAGTCACGTCACAGAGGTAGGAACTGTAAGTCACAAGCAGAAAGGAGGATTTTTTTTTTTCTTTTTACATTAAGCAATTCATCTCAAAACACTCTGCATATATACTGTATAACATACGACAGATTTAGAACACCTACCATTTCTTTTGGTTGAACTTAAGGTTGTTGCCAGTCTTCTTGTGTATAACATTGATCTTTCCACCCTCATATTTGACACCATCCAGTCTGCCGAGGATAAAATAAATAAAATATAGTATCTTCATAAGAAACTGAAATCAAAAGGATTGTCATGTCGGGTTCAGAACATAAAACTCACCGTGCAGACAGGCTGCCCAGGCCAAGCTTCTTTGCTACTCCTTGCAAAATTTTCACAGGGTTGTCCCCTCTTTCATGGGTACCTTTGTCACCTTTGCCTTTTGCCTTTTTGCCAGGTTTGGAGCCTTTGCTTGTGGCCTTGGTACAATCTCCTTTGGCTGTTATGGGAAGGGAACGATACACTTCCAGGGCTGAGCGACCTCTAAGGCTCAAGTCCTGCAGGCTGCTGATAAGCCTTTCCTCCTCTGAATCCTGCCCAAGGCAAAATGAGAGTAGTTACAGGACATAACAGTAGATGAGACTCTGACCTCTTCTGAAAAATTATTGCTGGCAAACTCAAGGGAACATAGTCCAAAAATAACTAGGGTATGATTTATATTCCACACCTGGCTTTGTTCCATCAGGGCTCCATGGTGTCTAGGTCGGGCTCCGTGCACCAGTAACTCACAGTTATCTGTGTAGATGAAGTGCAGGGCATACTCCAGCATGTCCGGTGGAATGTTCTCCAAAATGAACAAGTCGCAGCCCACGGCGTCTTCACTCTTCCTCACTTCTTTATCAAGCTCCTCATCAATCCCACAACGCTCAGCCATAAACTGTTTCCGGAAGAACTCAGACCTCATAGACAGGATATATTTGTGAGCTGCGAAGGTGCGATTGCCAGCCTGAAGTGTTACATCATGGATACTGTCCATTTCATGCGCTTCCTCCAGAAGTTTCTGGAAGTGTGTGGCAAAGGAAGGTGGAGAAATGCTGGGAATCTCATATAAACTGGAAAAAAAGGAAAACACCGTATGTAAGTTTTGTTTTTTATTTAAACTCCGACTTAAAAAAAATTAAATACGGGAGTAGTTTTGGCCACAAAGTGGTAAAAAAACATCCATGATTTAAAACTGAACCCAGTATTCAGGAACCTTCAAGCTCTTTTCTCATCGCACTCTGAGTGATAGGGTTGCGCAGCAGGACAGAGAAACAGATGGCAGTGCCCCAGTGGCCAGTCTGCCCATATTTGGAAGTGCTGACGTAGCAGCCTACCAGATAAGACGGAGACTTTTGCATGCGGTTGAGAAAAGAAGTAGACCGCACCTCAACAAGATGCAGCTTTCACTGCATCACATCATCCACAATTTTCAAAAACAATTTGGAAAGAAATGACTCATAGACCACAGAACACTTTGCATCAGTCCATCTTCAATGAGCTTGGACCCAAAGATGTCGGCAGCTTTTCTGGGTGTTGATGATCAATGGCTTTTGCTTTGCATAGGAGAATTTTAAGATGCCCTTACGGATGTGGCACCGAACTGTATTTACGGACATTGGTTTTCAGAAGTGTTCCTGAGCCCATGTGGTGACATCCTTTACACAATGATGTCGGTTTTTGATGCAGTACCGCATCTGGGATCGAAGGTCACAGGCATTCAACTTTGTTTTTCAGCTTTGCCACTTACATGCAATGACCTCTACAGAGCCTCTGAACCTTTTGATGATATTATGGATCGTACCGGATAAAATCCCTAAATTCCTTGTAACTGTACATTGAGGAACACTGTGCTTAAAAGGTTCGACTATTTTCTCACGTAGTTGTTCACAAAGAGATGAACCTTCCTCATCTTTGCTTGTGAATGACTGCGAAATTTATTCATTTATAACGAATCATGGCACCCACCTGATCCCAGTTAGCCTCTTCACCTGTGGGACGTTCCAAACAGGTGTTTGATGAGCATTCCTCAACTTTCTCAGTCTCTTTTGCCACCTGTCCCAGCTTTTTTGGAACGTGTTGCAGCCATAAAATTCTAAGTTAATGATTATTTACTAAAAACAATCAAGTTTCTTAGTTTCAACATTAAATGTCTTGTCTTTGTAGTGTATTCAACTTAATATAATTTGAACATGCTTTTCAAAATGTATTCTGTTTTTATTTACGTTTAACACAACGTCCCAACTTCATTGAAATTGGGCTTGTGTATTAAGAGGATTATTTTGCACGTAGGCGTGCATTATGTCCATATTTAAAACTGCATGTGTCATACATCTGGGAAGAAAGTCCATGGCCTAATGTGGCCCACCAGTACAACTGACAAAAAATTGTTGCTCCCTCCAGTATTGAAGTTGCCTATCCCTGTCTGAGTGGCTATTATTGCTTTCCACTGATTTAGGTCAAGGAATGCTTGCCTGGAATTTTATGCAATCCAATGATCCTGTACCTTGTTTTGGGATCAACCTGAAGCAATCCAAAATTTCGACCGTTTGAGTCCATAGTGATGCTGACAGCTCTGTGAACGTAGGGAAGCCTTTCCAGACGAATTCGCTCAAACATTGTGGCAACATTTGAATGTCCACAAACCTCCACACTCATCTCTGATGTAAGAACACATACAAAAAAAATATTAGAACAACTACAATACTTCGTGAATACTGTCCCAATATTTAATAATCAACCAGTCAATATGCATCATTCTCATTGCAGTAAAAGGTTAATAAGTAGTCGAGCAATAAGTAGGTTGACAGAATGCTGATTTAACAACTATATGTACATGATTTAAGTTATCATCGGTATTTCACTCAACTTACCTTTTTTCTCACTGTACTTTTTATATTCTCCAGCCCACATGCCACTGAATCCCTCCCCCTCCTGAGTCACAAACATCATGCCGTTTTTGCTGAGAGCAATGTCAGACATGAAAACCTGGCGCCCATACGCCCACCGGCAATGTCTCATCGAGCTACCTGAGGAGCGCCAGCAGAACACCTGACAGGGATGGAAAAATACAGAAGTTGGTCAAAAATCTTAGTCATCATTTCCATCTATAGACATCCAACGAGACTGGTTGAGATTGTACAATTGTCTACTTTGCACCAATGGAATAGATAAAGAAAGCAAAGCTACGGTAAAATTCATTTATAGTCTTAATACAAAGTACATGAACGATACACATTTACTGTATATCCAAAAACGAATTCCGGCCAACCATGTCACATCAAGTGCAATGAACAGGAATGTCTGCTGTTTGTTCTGTAGCCCATATATGTTCAGCAGGAAGCACTGTACAATGTACACTTTGCCCTGATCAATGGGTGTCGTGAAGATGCAGCGATAGTTTTGTGTGTGTGTGTGTATATATATATACACACATATATATATATATATATATATATATATATATATATATATATATATACACACACATAACTATCGCTGCATCTTCACGACACCCATTGATCAGGGCAAAGTGTACATTGTACAGTGCTTCCTGCTGAACATATATGGGCTACAGCACAAACA